ATCTTCCCATCACATCACCCCTCGCATGCATACTTCCACAGCCCAAGGAATCTCTGGAAAGAGACTTACCTGATATTTGCTCTCTGAAAACCAGCCAAGAGATACCAGTTTCCCCAGCACAAAGGACAGTCAGACCCTGTTCCATGTCCCACAGTGGCTCTAAAAAACAAACAAACAAACAACAACAACAAAAAACCCAAGGTCATCTTTGTCAAAACTCTGTCCTTTTCCTCATTTCTATGCCAAGAGTTAAAGAGCCCAGGCATTTCAAGTACATGTGCATGCACCCTGCTAGTAGACCTGCCCCCTCCTCTCCTTCCCAGCCCAAAGCTCTAGGCAAAGGTTCTACACAGATAGGACCTCAGGTAACTTCCAAAACTCTCCTGCGCTTGGCCATGAGCTAAGGTGGCACCAGAGGTAAAAGGTGCTGAGAGGTTTTCAGGTGCTCCTTGTCACTCATGTGGACCCACCAAGGCTGGTACAAAGCAACCCCTTGTCCAAGGTCATACAGATGGCTCGTGGCCCCACTGGGACTGGCCATGCTGACCTGATTTTCAGGCAAGCTCCCACTACACTAGACTATGACAGGGCCCACAGAGAGGGCAGGCGAGAAACAGAGGCACAGAACACACGGATGTGGATCTTTCATGCTCCATCATGCCTCCTACTATGTGTCTCAGTGGAGATTCGATGTAGGACTCTCTGAATCCAGAAACAAGCAAGGAGAGCAACAGGAGAATGGGTCAGAGCCAGAAAGGCCAGGGAGTGCTCCCTAGTGCTTTCTCCCACCTCTCTTCTGAATTCTGCATCATATGGTTTGAATAATTACAGCAGGCCAATAAAAACCATCTGGAGAAAATATTAAAGATGGCAGACCTGTGGAGAGTCAGAGGAAGAGGATTTTTAGAAGCTACATTGAGTAGAATGATAAAGGAAACCAGGAAGAAAACAGAGGAGCAGATGTTCAAGAAGAGATAATCCACACCAGACTTGTAGTCCAGTGGGGAAACTGAGGTAGCAGCAGGCTTCAGGGCAGCTACTTCTGGGGCCTGGAGCTCAATATTCCCAGTGTCAGGCCACTACAATCTGAGGGGGAGGAGAGAGTGCTAGAGAGAGCGGGCAATGAGAAGATAGATCTTTTTGGACACTTCTTAAGGCCACCAGGGCCTTCTGTACTCCCAGCCAACCTGTCATCCCAAGACAGTCTCCCCTTGGAAGCAAAGAATTCTCATCCACACCCCAAAAGCCTCTGGGAGTCTGGCAGTGCTGACAAGCCCACGAAAGAAAGGAGAGAGTTGCAGGGGATGGAGGAGACAGAGAAAGCACCCGGAATGCTGGCAGGCAAGATAGACTGCTGCAGCAGAGGAGAGGGGCGAGGGGCGGGAGGAGGGACTGTGGGGGTGATAGAGCCTCTCCCAGCTCTTCTTTCCCTCTCTCTGTCCCTCCCACTCTCTCTTTCATGATCTTGGAACAACCTTCAAGTCTGGGCTGCAGGCCCCAGGAGGCCAGTCACTTAGGAAACAAAACTGTTTCCTGGAGACCTTGGGAGCCCATCTGCAGCTAAGCGCGCCCACCCTCCCCCGGGCACACTCTCCCATGGACTCTCACGTACACCCACAGTATTGCAAGCTTTCCCTGCAGCCCACACACGTGCAAGCCAGAACATGAACACGTGCACATCACATGATCCTATGCAAGCAACTAGTTTGTAATAGTTGCTTACACACCACATATCAAAGTGTGTGCTGTGCTCTGTCTCCTTTGGAGGAGCAATTCTTTTTAAAGGCAGGAGCTCATATAACCCAGGCTGACTTCTCAGACTTGCTATGTAGCTGAGGATGACCTTGAACTTGAACTCTGATCGTCCTCCCTCCACTTGCCAAGTGCTGGGATTATATAGGTATGATTATATAGGTATGTATATAGGTATGGTTTAGGTGCTATGAAGGATCGAACCCAAGGCTCAGTGTTCGTTAGGCAATCACTCTACCAAGTGAGCTACACCCCCAGACTGTAGCTCCTTTGCAATTACCACTTGACACATTCCCACAGTCTTGTACCCACCCACAGAATCCCACACATGCATGTCCCCCTCGGTCATAACTAGCACCCTGCCTCCAGGCACGTGCATGCTCCTCTCTCTCTACTCTCTACTCCCTACCCCCGCATATGTATCTCTATTTCCCAGATTCCCTACCAACCAGGCATGGTTCAGGCCCTCTCCATCTTGTCTCCTTGGACTGCTTCTGACTTGTGATTTTCTTTTGAGACTTCCTGCATCCCTACCTCCTGCCCGAAAGTACTTCTGTCTTCCCCCTCTGCTCCTCTCTCTACAGGGCCTTGACCCAAATGGGTTCCACTAGCTGTGTTCACAGGAAGCAGAAGCCCAGCCCAAGCACCCAAGATCAAAGGGTCAGTTGTCTACCTCCACTTGGGTCCTAGAGTCTGAGACAGACTCCCTGAGTCTCCACTCTCACTGGTGAGAGTGGTCAGGGAGGCATGGGTGAAAAGCAGGCTGTGAGCATCCAGCCCTCTTCACGGGTTGCAGCCCTAAGTGTGAGTGCAACCGTGTCCTTGGGTCTGTACTCACCCAAATGCAGGGCATGGCAGGGAGCCCCAGCAGGCTGTGCGGGCAGAGGAAGGGCACAGCCCTTTCCGTTACTGAGCCTGCCTACAGACAACAGAGCCAGGGTGTGGAAAGGACTGGACAGCACTAGGAGGTGCCAGCAGGAGGAGGGGGATGGAAGCAGCTTGAGCTCAGAGCTTCAAGTTTATACACCTGCAGATCTGAGACCAAAGTTTTCTCTTCTGTCTTACCGTATATGCTGAAGAAGGCTGGGCAGAAAATCAACTCTAGCGCCGAAGTCTAGATGCCACCTAACCCCCCAGGTTATCATCTCATTCACCCCTAGCCCCACAGCAAGGCTGCCTCAAGACGAGTGCCTCACTTCCAGACTCTTCCCTAGGCTTTACATCTTTAGCTGTACTCTCTGTTTATGGACTGCATTTATTTCCTCTCACAATTTCCCCACCTTTTCTACCCCAGGCCCAAGTCTGAGGCCTGGAAGCTATCCCATAGACCATGAGAAAGTCCATACCTCCCCATCCTGTCCATCCTTCCTGCCTGGACCCAGAAGGAGGCCAGAGGAGGCAGGTGGGATCTAACCTTCTGATGCCTGTAATGGAAAATCTCAGCTGTAGACCCAGAAGAGCCCAGTTATTTAGGGAATTCAGATGTGAACCCTGTACCCTCAGAGTGGATTTCCTGAACAAGAGGTCTATAATCCCTCTGCAGGAAGTTCCTTCCTGGGCCAGAGGGGCCCCAGCCCAGTCAGCAGTACGTTAGACTTCCTGCCAAAGCCCAATCCCCTCCCTCCCTCCTTCCTTCTTTCTCACCCAGGGTTCTCAGATCTGCCCCTGCTCAACTGATGTCCACTCACTCCATCTCTGTACCCAGAGAAATGGAGACACTACAGGGGAACCCTAGCCTCTGACTACTCCCAGCAGGAAGCTTTCTTCTCTCTAACCCCCTTCCTCTTCTTGTCCCCTACCCTCATTCTTTGGCTCATCATCAAATGAACTACAATACTACCTGACCAGTTGGCCTTATCCTGGGTCATCTGCTCTGTCTCTGTTTCTATCAGGCCAGATTTAATGTTGAAGACACCCTTCCAGCTAGAGGGGAAGCTTCCTCCCCTCTCCCTAGGCCCTATCTCCCATGCCTCCCTGCACAAGGTCGCTTGTAGGCCTAATGCCATGATGCGCTCATAGACTGCGGAGATTCCTTCTCTTCTCTCCCTGAAGAAACCAAGGGAGCTGTTGTTCATTTTAGTCCATGGACCTGGTATCTGAAATGATTCTGACTTCCATGTTCTTAGAAACTCTGCACTTTAGAACTCACCAACCTCAGACCCAGATTTGCCCATAGCTCCTCTATAGCAATGGAGAGGCACAGCCACTCTGCACATAGAATAGCAGAGATGTCACCAATGCCTGCTGTGCTTGGCTTGGGGCTGCCTTCCTGGTCCTTCCAGGTCTCTTCTATCCACTTCCCACCCGCCAGGAGTCTTGATTATCCTGAAAGCTGGTGGCAGGCCCAACCAATTTGTGACTGCTATACAATGTTGCTACAGTGTTAGCATCATCTACAAATTTCATACTGGAGAACTGTGCCATCAATTTACCAAAAAATAAAATCACTAGAAAGTATCTCAATGTTTGAAGTTTAAGATTTGTGTTGAGCTGCATTCATAGCTATCCAAGGATATTTGCAGTCTGTGGGCAGCAGTTGGATGCCCGTGGTTCAAAGGCTACATCTGGAGGAGCTTGGAGGGGACCTCTCCTCTCCGTCACCAGATTTTGTGATGCCTCCTGAGTCATTTTTGGCCCCTGGAAGGGAAGGGGGCTTAAATGCAAGGAGCATCTGAAGTTCCAGTTCTAACTTGTTCTGGGCTGCAGTGTCCCTGCAGTCTCTACAGCAGAGGGAAGAGACTCTGGGCTTTTGTGAGGTTTTGTGCGTGCGCATGTGTGTGTGTGTGTGTGTGTGTGTGTGTGTGTGTGTGTGTTTTCTTTTTTAGGAAATAGGATTCTGACTTAGGAAACCCAGGTTCTGTCTTAGCAGCTCAGATTATTGAATTCTGAGCCTCAGTTTTCCCACCTGTAAATACAGGCAGGGTTAGTCTGCCAGGTCCCTAAGTTGATGGTTCCATAGAGGCCAGGCTCCTGGACTCTCTAGCTACCTCTGCTCCTAGTCCCTCTTCCCTTGCCTCTCTCAGTTTTAGCTGCCATGGGGTGGGGAGGTACAGAGGGGAGCTGAGGGGGGGGGACACACCACGGGACAAAAAACAAAAAACGACCATCAAAGGGGCCAGTTACTAAAGAGGCGGGAGAGGAGGAGTCCTTAGGGATCCAGTTTCAACAAACGTTTCTTTCCCTAGAAGGGGAAGGCGGGGGTGAGGGGGAGAGGGACCTATTTAAAGCTACCCTGTTGCTTCGGCTGTCTCTGTCTGTCTGCCAGGGTCTCCAGCTGCCCCAGACAGGCGGTGTGATCTTGGGATCCTCCTGGGTGACCTTTCCAGCCTAGGTCCCTTCAGCCACTCTACCCCAAGATGGGTCGTGGGGTGAGTATCCCTAAAGAGCAGGGGCCACTCTCTGGAGGGTAAAGGAGGAGCCAGAACAAGGGTCGGGTGGAATGGGATGTGGAGGGAGGATGTGAGAGAAGCTGACTGAGTGGGATGATTTGAACTTGGAGCAGTCTCCCAGTTACACAGGCATGTGGATTCCACAGCACTCACCAGCCTAAGGGCTAGCCTGTTCTGCAGCTGCTCCACCTCCCTCCCCTCTCACAGCTAGCCCAGAAGCCCCCCACACTCCTTCCAGTTCTCCCTCCAGTCCACCCCCACATCTCTTCTCCCACTCTCACTCTCTCACCACAGATCCTGGCCTCCCAGCTGAAGGGATGTTTGGTACTATTAGCACTACCCACTAAAAATATCCATTTCTCTGAGACTCCCAACACCAGAGGACAGGGGCCAGTCTGAGGTTGGCGAGGAGCAGTGGAGCTCCCCATTCTCAGAGCCACCAAGCTGTTCCCGACACCAGCTCCAAGGACTTTGTGTGCCAGAGTCAGCTGGAAGGGATATGGGAGAGGGAGAGGGCTATGTCCCCAGCCCTCACCCCAGCACCCCTCCAGATGTACCCAGCAACACTGTCCTCGGCTCCAGGCCATAGACTTTGGGGACTTTTCCAAAGGCTGGTGAGAACTGCCCCTGTCCCAGCCTACCCTGCCCGTGGCATTCTGCAGCAATGGTTTTGCTAAGGGGAAGATTAACAGCTATGTCTAGGTGGGCAAAGACAAGGCTTGCAGTTCTTGGAAATGAAATTCTCATATGGAGAAAATGACCCAGTCCCTTTATATACTGTGTCTCACTGCATTCCTTTTGTAGAATGTTGGCAAAAGAGGGCATGGAGGGAAAAGGCATGGCAGGCCATACAGAATGTGAGGAAAAGGGTAACATGGGGTGCTGTGGGCCAATTTCTGGGCCCAAGAAAGAGTCAGGCAAGGACATGTTATTGCACTAAGTTGAACAGCTGGGAAAACTCTGAGCCTGGACACTAGGGTTCCAGAGCTAGGGTGGGAGCTAGAAATAGAACTCGCATGTGGGGTGTGTGTGTGTGTGTGTGTGTGTGTGTGTGTGTGTGTATGTGGATGTGTCTGCAACCTACAACTCTACAACTGTATGTTCCAGGTAAGCTGCAGCTACTCTTGGGTAAAGACTCTGTCTTCAGCAGGTGAATTTGCAAATGTATAGCCTTTGAATACTCAGGGCACAGACTGGGGAGTGAAGGTCTGTAGCCCTCCCTTAGGAACTATACAGGGAAAGGGTTTTCCTGAGAAAGAGGTCACAATCACTGTCCTAGGACCTTCATCTGCATCTATTGTTCCCCATAGAAAAAGAATTTCCATCCCAGAGGCCATGGCCAACCCCATCAGGCCCTACCCACAACCTAAGTGGAAAGAAGGAGAAGGGGTGTCTGAACCCTGCTTAACCTTAGAGCAAGGTGGACCAGCTCACAGACTTCCTTCTACCTGGAGAACAATTTGACCTTGACTTCCCCATTCTGTTTTGTTTTGTTTGTTTGAGACAAAAGTCTCCCTGTAGTCCCAGCTGGCTTGGAACTTGCTATGTAGACCAAGCTAGCCTCAATCTCACAGAGATCCACCTGCCTCTGACTCCATAGTTCTGGGATCAAATGCGTGTACCAGCATGCCCAAGGACGTCCCGATTCTGAACTTTTCCCCTAGCATCTTTGCTGAACCCATAACCTTCATAGCACCCCTAACCTAGCAGTTGTAAGTGACACTCTAGCAAGATGCAAAAGAAGCTGGTCTCATCTGTTTGGCATGAAAAGCTGGGCAAAGTCCTACCTACCATGAGAGCTCTGAAGACACCAAGCCCCCGACTCCCCATGTCCCGTTCTCGAGTCTGCTTCATCTCCTATCTCTTCTTCCTTGCTTCTCTACTCCAGAGCAAGGACCAACTCTTAGCCTATCACTATGTGGCTGTGAAGGACAGCGTGGGAGCTGGGGGAAGGAGCCATTCTGGTGGGAGGGAGCCCAGCCTGCTCCAGAGGCTAGGGGGAGGCGCTGGCTGATTTCCAGCTACCCCTACTCTGTCCCAGCCTCTGGCTTTCTCAAAAAGAACTCTCTGTTCTCCTTCAGCATTCAAGAGCCAAAAAGAGGGACTTGTGGTAGGGGAGGGAGTAAAGAACAGAGGGGGCAACGGGGGGGGGGGCTGCTTCCTCTTTCTTTCTTGCCTGGGCAGCCACTGGTCCCAAATCTCTGCAGGCTCCTGGCTATAGAGCCTGAGGTCCTTGCCAGGACAGGAGGAGGGGGAGGGCAGTGTGTCCCAAGCTTTGGCTTATGGGAGAACAGGGTGGGAGCTTGGGAAAAAGAGGTACTACGTGGAGCTATGTAGCTTAGCCACAATCCAACATGCCAAAATGCATAGGGCAGCAAATATTTCAGAAACATGCATTTTTTTGTTTGTTTTGAGATAGAATCTCACTATGTAGCTCAGGCTGCCCTTGATCTCCCAGTCCTCTCACCTCTACCTCCTGAATGCTGGGATTGCAAGTGTGCACACCACCTCTGGATCTAGAAACATGTCATTTGATCTCATTTTCATGTGTACTTTATTTTACACTGAATGTGGAGAAAGCCCTCTGGGCTCCACTTCTCTGCCCCCAACCCAAGCCTCTCCTTCATGCTCAGGCTCTCATCTCTGAAGCTCCCAAGAGTCACAATGAAGTTTGTCCAGATTGATCTCTCTCCCGAGGTCCTTCATGGCTTGCCATCATTTTCTCAGCCTTGCCTCACCAAGGATGAGGTAAAGAGGCCAAAGCATTTCAATCCATCCAATTAAATGAACTTCTTCAGTCACCTGGGGAAGGGTGAGCCCTTCCTGAGCCCTTCCCTACTCCATCAATCTCCCCAAGATGATCAGTCTCCAGAAGACCAAAGTCAGACAGGATTCAAAGATGCATCAGACAACGACAAATGCATTATTTGCTGGTCACCTGGTGCATGTCTGAACATGCTTCTAAGACATCATGTCCTTCTAGGTCCCTGTCCACTTGTATTACATGTCCCATCCTCACCCTCGCTCCTGGTTTCACTGGACAGAATTCTATTTCTCAAGGTGCTACATTTCTGACCTTTTATGATCAGGGCCACTGTCACATTTCCCTAGATCACTCCTAACTCTGACAGGTAAAAATATGTTACCCAGGAGCACAGAGGATTCAGGGCAGCAAACACATGAATGCAGTGGAAGAAACAGTCAATATAGATTTGCTCAAATCAGTAGATCACACAGCCTCCAAGAGTGAACCCTAATGTCAGCGATGGCCGTGTAAGTTGCTCTGCTGAAACAAAGTAGCTTTCGTGCAGGGTCTTGATACTGAGGGAGGCTGTCTGGGTATAGGAGCAGGAGATGCCTAGGAACTTCCTCTACTACCACTCACCCTTACAGTGAGCCAAAAAAATTGCTTTAAAAATAACCTAAAAACAAACAAACAATGCCAGGTGTGGTAGCACTGTGAGATTGAGGTCAGCCTGGTCTACATACCTACTTCCAGGTCTGCTGGGGCTACAAGGAGACCCTGCCTCAAAAAACCCACCACCAACAAAAAAACCCATTCCCCAAACACATAATCTTTTAAAAATATTTTATTTACTATTTTTATTTTATGTGTATGAGTGTTTTGCCTGCATCTATGTCAGTGCACCCATGTCGTGCAATGCTGCGGAGGTCAGAAGTGTGCATCGGATTCCCCTGAAACTGGAGTTAGATGCTGTGTGGGTACTGGGAATTGAATCCAGGCCCTCTGCAGGGGCAGCCAGTGCTCTTAACTGCTGAACCATCTCTCCAGCCCCCCAAATACCAAATCTTGGAAAAAAGCAAACACACTGACTATTGCTTCTACCAAGTGCCCATTCTTGATGGGAAACAAAATCAAGTCATACCCATAGCATAGAAAAACTCATTCCTAAAAACCCAGTGCAGGCTTTAGGGTCCAAAGAGGAGACAGAGGCATGGGCAGAAACTTAGCTGCCCCTTTGTGACAAGGACCCTGCCTCTTGAGGAAGTAATAGAAAGGAGAGATGGAGGAAAGACACTCTTGCACACTAGCCATAGCTGCAGCCTATCCCAGCCCCTGCCTGTCTCAGCACTCCAAAGCAACCTCTGCTTGGATAAAGAAACCCACCACCTTCTCCCCAGCAGCTCCAGTCAGCCCTGGAAACCTGCAGTGGCCCTGAAGAGAAGGGTGAATGAGGGCCTCACACATTAAAAATGCGCGGCTGAGCTCACCAGGTGGCTCTGGACTGGCTGGACCTGACTACATGACTAAAGTTCTAGATTTACTCTCGGATACATTTCTTGAATTTTTTTTTTTTTTTAAATCGAACAGTTCCCTTCTTACCTAATTATGCTTTGGAGTTTAGAGTCCTATGAATTACCTTTGTCCTGTCCTGAGCAAACCTGTCCAGCAGCGGGCTCCTAGCACACCCTGGGCTCCCATTTTCTTGAACTTACATATACTTGGACCCTCCACTCCTGGCTCTTCTTGGTCTATCAGCCCTGCCCACTCCATTCCCACCACATGCTCTCTTCTCCTGACTCCACCCAGGGCCACCATGTCAACTGTCCTCTAAACGAGGCAAAGATGTTTTATGAGATACTTTGCTCCCCAGCACAAGTTCTGTCCACTCCCAGAATTCTCCTAAGTGACCTAAGATGGTGGGTTTCAAAATCGGTATGTGTTTTCTTTAGTATCTGGGAGAATCCCATATCACTAAACAGGTAAAGTACAGCTTTCCAGTCATTAGGCCCTTGGCCTTCTCAGAAGTTCAAATGTGGGGTGCTAGCAGCTCTGCCAAACTGCAAGTGGAGGGCCTGGACCTTTCCACCTCCTGCTCCCCCTCTTCCCCAGGTCCATCAGTATCTTTGAATCTACTACCCTGTTCCCAGCACCTGGCTTCCTGGCTGGCTGGTGGGAATGGAGGCTGCAGCCTGTCTCCCTGATTCCCTGTGCTCTCCCTTCCTCTCGCAGGCAGGCCGAGAGTACTCGCCTGCTGCCACCACAGCGGAGAATGGGGGTGGCAAGAAGAAACAGAAAGAGAAGGAGCTGGATGAGCTGAAGAAGGAGGTAGCTATGGTAAGGCCCATGGCTCTTTCAGCAGAGAGGTAGAGGAGGGGCTCTGCTCTAACAGTCATACCCCTACAGATGTGGGCACCCAAAGAAGCTTAGTGCTCAGTCTAGTGCTCACCATCTAACCTTGTGCCCTCAGTGTGCTCAGCCTCCTTTCCCAAAGTAACTCCATTTCCCTTCTCCAGGATGATCACAAGCTATCCTTGGATGAGCTGGGCCGCAAATACCAAGTGGACTTGTCCAAGGTGAGTGGAGCCTGGCTGTGAGAGAACCTTGCAGCTTCAGGTGGGAGAGCCTTAAAACTAGAACACAATGGGGCTGGAAAGATGACTCAGCTGTTAAGAGCCCTGGGATGCTTTTGCAGAGGACCCAGGTTCAGTTCCCAACACCCACATGGTGGCTAACAACTGTCCTTAGCTCTAGTTCTAGGGGAATCTGATGCTCTCTTCTGACCTCTGCAGGCATTGCACTACCCGGTGCACTTACATCCAAGTACTCAATACACTCATACACATAAAATAAAAATAATAAATAAGATAAAAAACAAAACAAAAACTAGAGCACAGTGCTCTCTGTAGATGTAGCCCAAAGATAAGAGATTTGCTGGTGGCCAGGTGGCTAGTTGGTGGCACAGCCAGAACCAGATTTTAGACCCCTGCTTACTAAAACAAAGCTCTTTCCCTGTGCAGTTGAAGCCAGGCCTCCTTAAAACCCAAATGCCTCCTAGCAGGGCTCTATGCCCTGCCTCAAGCAACTGCTCCCAGAGCTGACTCACAGGGAACAGCAAGTTGACTCATCCCTGCCACTACAGTAATTTTCTGGCTCCTGCTACAGCAGTGTCTCTGTGATAAGATATATTATGTATATTTTTTAACCCTCACCATAACAGTCCGGCATTGTTAACTTGGTTATTAAAGCAAGGGGAGTCAGAAAGGGAGAATAATTTCCTAAATTTGCATAAATAAATAACATAGTCAGATTGCCAACCCTATCATTTAAAAATATTTAAACATTTTTCATCAAAGCCAGGTGTGGTGGCACATACCTGTAATCCCTCCTCAGGAGGTCCAGGCAGAAAGATTGCAAGTTCAAGACTAACCTGACAGACAGCCTAGAGACCCTGTCTTAAATCAAAATAAAAGAGAGAGAGAGAGAGAGAAAGAAAGAAAAAAGTCTGCCAGTTGCCTTAGCGGTTAACTGTAGTTTTAGGTACTTAGGAAGCTAAGACAAGAGGATCACTTAAGCCCAGGAGTTGAAGAGTGGCCTAGGCAAAATATTGAGACCCAAGCTCAATGAAATAAAAACATTGTTAAAGTTGGTCACAAGTTGGAAGCCAGCCTGGGCTACATAGTAAGTTGCAAGCTAGCTTTGGCTAAAGAATGAGAAGCTATCTCAAAAAAACTTACTGATCAAAAATTTGGTGTGTCACCATCCCTTGCCCCACTCCTTTCTGACTCTTCCTAAATTTCTGTGCTCCCATTTTTTAACCTTACTTTATCTTCTGCACTATGTCTTTCACTCTCTGGCATTGATGTGTATTTGTTTATTGTGTTCGTGACCTCTTTAGATTCTGAGCAGGGACTTTGTGGTCAGCCTGCCTCTAGACCTCTCCCAGGCATGTAGTAGGAACTCAGTGCACATTTACTAAGTAGGTGAATAAATTATATAAAGATAAGTAAGAAGTGGTCCTCATGCAAAGTCTAGTAGAAAATTTAAAAAACAAGATCATGAAAACATAGAATTCCAATGCAGTAGAGTCAGAGTTATTCCAGCATCAAGCATGGGGTATTACGTGGATCCAAAAAGAAGCCCTTGATCTAGCCTGGGGCCAGAAGAATGGAGCCTGGCTAGGCTTTCTTTGAAAAGTGACAGGTAGGGGCTGAAGAGATGGCTCAGTGGTTAAGGGCACTGACTGCTTTTGCAGAGGACCCAGGTTCAGTTCCCAGCACCCACATGGCAGCTACAAACCATCCTTAATTCCAGTTCAGGGGAATCCGAAACTCTCTTCTGACCTCCGTGGTACTGCACAATACGGGTGCAAGGTAAAGAGCATTGGCTGCTCTTGCAAAGGACAAGAGTTCAGTTCCCAGCACCCACACAGTTACTAACAACCCAAGTTCCAAGGGAATCTAACCTCCTCTTCTGGCCTCCAAAGGCACTGCGAACACGTGGTACACTAGCTCACATACATGCAGGCAATGCACTCATACACATAAAATAAAAATAATAAATAAAAATATTTTTTTAAAAAGTGACAGGTAATTGCCAAAGTTGTGTGACATTAAGGGTCAATGCTTGGGACTTTCCTTGGAGCCCTAGAAAAAGCTAAACACTGAAGGAAAAGAGGAGGGAAGCTCAAACAAGGTATCCCTCCAGGATGCCTACACATGTTGCCCCACACAAATATGCTTCAATCCAATAGCAGTCAATGGTGGAGCTACGGGAGAACCCTCTTCAGCCTCAAGGCTCCCAAGTCTCATCACAGATACCAGCTTCTTAAGTTCTCATCCCTTCCAACCAAAAGCGATTTTCTCCTCTGTAGCTGGGCAACAATTCTCCAATAAACTGAAAGGATGTGGCAGGGGCCAGGTTGGTTCACACAAACACACTCCTACACCTTTTCTTTCTCCCTAGGGCCTCACCAACCAGCGGGCTCAAGACATTCTGGCTCGGGATGGGCCCAATGCCCTCACTCCACCCCCCACGACTCCTGAGTGGGTGAAGTTCTGTCGTCAGCTTTTTGGGGGCTTCTCCATCCTGCTATGGATTGGGGCTATCCTCTGCTTCCTGGCCTATGGCATCCAGGCTGCCATGGAGGACGAACCATCCAACGATAATGTGAGCCACACGACTGACCCCTGGTCCAGCCCATGCTTTCCCCTCCAGCTCTCAACCCTGAGAACAGTGATGGGGAGGGTGTGGGGAACAAGATCTTCATGACATAGTCCCAGTACCTCAGGCTGAAGAAGAGTGCAGCTTCTGTGCATACCTGTGAAGCAACCTCCAACACACACACAGTCAGTGAGACAGCTCCTCTGTGCTTCCACTTAGGTAGGCTGATCTGTATTCTGGGTCTTCATCCCTGGAAAAGTCACAGCCATAGGAACTCCCTAAGCCCTTCTTTGCTCCTTCCACACTAGAGGACTTGAGGGTAGAAGATTGAGGGAGGGTCAAGGGAAACACTTCCCACTACCATCCTGATTCCAGGACAGAGATGAAGGCCCAGGATCCCACACAGGATGGCTCTGAGTGCTCACCCCAGGTGGCAGCCGTTCCTCTAGGTGAGAAGTGGCAGGTCCCTCAAACTCTCTCTCTTACCAGCTGTATCTCGGTGTGGTGCTGGCAGCTGTCGTAATCGTCACTGGCTGCTTCTCCTACTACCAGGAGGCCAAGAGCTCCAAGATCATGGATTCTTTCAAGAACATGGTGCCTCAGGTAGATGGCAAGGCTTGGCTCCATCCAGCTTGGGGCATGCACATGGTTTCTGAGATGGTCCACTTCTTCCTATTTTGTGGCCTGAGGTGGAGGAAAGATGGGCAGAAAACACACTCCATCTCGCTACACTAAAACCTAGTTTTGTCACTAATGGTGTGGGGTTTCCCCTCCCCCTTGAGATGGGAGACCAGCAGGAGAGGATGGCAGTGATAGAGACAAAGTTTCATGAGGTGCTCATGGCCTTTCCACAGCAAGCTCTGGTTATCCGAGAGGGAGAAAAGATGCAGATTAATGCGGAGGAGGTGGTGGTAGGAGACCTGGTGGAAGTGAAGGGTGGAGACCGAGTCCCCGCTGACCTCCGGATCATCTCTTCCCACGGTTGTAAGGTGAGGAAATCACACAGAGCAAGTGGTTGATCTAAGAAGTTAAGAGCCAAGAGAGGCCCTCTTGAAGACTTAAAAGTTGAAAGACATAGTTCCCAGAGAAGCCTCCTTTCAGCTGCCTCTGTGTATCTATGTGTTAGGAATGCTCTATGCTCTGAAATTTCTGTGGTATAGCCACTTTATAGCAATTGTATATTGGGTATCAATTCTGTAACAGAAGCCTCACATACGTGATCTAATTTCACTCTGAAAGATTCCAGGCCAGCCTGGACTTTTAAAAAAGTACTTTATTATTTTTATTTTATGTATATGAGTGTATTGCTTGTATGTATATAAGTGTACCATGTCATGCAATGTCATTAGAGGTCAGTAGAAGGCATTGGATTCCCCTGGAACTGGAGTAACTGACAGTTGTTAGCTGTCATGTGGGTGCTGGGAATTGAATCCAGTTCCTCTGCAAGAGCAGCCAGTGCTCTTAACTGCTAAGCCATCTCTCCAGCTCCCAGCCTGGGCTTTTTATACAGAAACCCTGTATAAGATGGAAGGAAGGAAGGAAGGAAGGAAGGAAGGAAGGTAGCTTTTCATTATGACAAAGTTTTATTTAACTATATTTTGTTTCTCTTAAAGCATAGGAAGGTGACATGTTTTACTCTAATCACTTAAAAGTAGCCTTTAGTGAGTAAGTGGGAGGGAGGGAGGGAGGGGAGAGACAGAGAGAGAGAGACAGAGAGAGAGATAGAGCTGGGTGTGATATCCCACACCTATAATCCCAGTACGCCACAGGTGGTGGGGTAGAGGCAGGAGGATGGAGAGTTTAAGGTCAGCCTGGGCTATGTAGGGAGAACCTAAAAAAAAAACAAACGAAAAAAAAAAGAATTTAATTACGTAGGGCAGCAATATACTGTGGCCTTAGCAACTCAGTAGGCAGCGTTTCAGACTGTCTTGGTGGTGGTACCTCTGGAGTTGTATACTGCAGTGGTTTTATTTATATTCCCCATTTTACAGATGTACAAATGAAGGCCCTGTGGGTTAAGTAAATAACCCAAAGTCATGTAAGAAGTCAGTGAGAGCCAGTCAAAGCAGGAGCAATAGCTGAGTAATGTCACAAATATGTAATGAGGGAAACTGTAATTTTGGCCCTCTTGTTATGAAGATTGAGGGTGGCTGGAGCCAACTCAGAAGACAGCTGCATATGCACAGTGCCACTGTCAGTGTGATGACTACACCCCCTTCTTCTTCAGGTGGACAACTCATCCCTAACAGGAGAGTCGGAGCCCCAGACCCGCTCCCCTGAGTTCACTCATGAGAACCCCCTGGAGACCCGCAATATCTGTTTCTTCTCTACCAACTGTGTGGAAGGTGAGAAGCTAGCCTGCCAGGGGTCTCCTCATCCCAGCACAATGGAGGGAAGGGTCTGCATCCTGAAGACTCAGTCAGGATTGGGAGCTGTATTTACTTGGCAAAAACTCTACATATCAAGGGCACTGGAGGACAGGGCACTGAATATTGCTGAAATAGTCCCTGGTGGAAAACAGGGTACTGGCCAAGGGCAGACTGGCTCCATAGAAAAATCACCTCCCCATACGAAGATTTCTGTTCTGTCCATCCCCAGACTGAGTGGATCCCAAAGCCTGCAGGTGGTAGGTTCAATACACACACACACACACACACACACACACACACACACCCTTAACTCAGGAGTCTGGGGTCTCAAATGATGTCTTCTAGGTCTATGGTTCTGGACTAGCTACCTCCTTCCTTACTTAGCTCTTGCTTAGAAATCAGAGCTGCAATCTGGTTCAAGAAAATTTCAGGTGAAAACTGGGGCTCTTCCTTGTGCTGCATCCATCTCAACCATGGAGAGTAGAAAACTCGTCATGTGCAGGCTGCCATCTGTTCATCTCTGCTCTGGAGTCTAGAGCTGAACAAGGTGGTGAATGAGACCTTCCAGAGCTGCTAGCACTTAAGGACCAGGGTCCAAGCACAACTGAAACCTGTGTCCTCTATGAAGCCATAGAGCTGAGTCAGGGCTGACTTGGGGAAGGAATAGGGGGCAAGAGATGGTGGAAGGCAGAGGCTTTAGACCACAGACCTCTCACAAGGGGGCAAAGAACACCTCGCATCTCAATCGCACACCTCTCCTTCCCCATCACTCATTTCTCCTCAATGTATTATGTTTCTCTGGGCTTGTTTTCCTCCTTCAGCAAACTGGAATTACAGTGAAAGTCACCACACATTAAATTTCTTAAATTTTTAATGTACTGAGATTTGCTGTCCATTTCCCTCATTGACTTGTTTAAAAAGGGCCAGACAAGGTATTCCTATTGCTTATTCTGCACCTAGCTTTGAAGGAGAAGAAACTAATGGAAGTGACATTTGTTGCATGCCTACCATGTGACAGGCACTGGTCTAAATGTACCACATCATTATCTCATCTCATTATTGACTCTAGGTAAGAGCTCAAATGGATTCAAACCTAGAGCTGGCTGATTTCCACCTGCATGTGCTTTCCACTGGGCTGCACTTCCTTTACACACATTCATGCTCAACAATGAGAAGGTCTTTTTTTTTTAGCAATTTTTTTTCATTTATTTATTGTGAGGGGTGAGTACACGCATACCACTATGCACATGTGGAGGTCAGAGGAAAACTTCTGAAAGTTAGTTCTCTCCTTCTACCATGTGGGTTCTGGGATCAAACTCAGGCTTGGCAGCAAGTGCCCTTACCTACTGAGCCGTCTTGCTGGCCCAAGAAAATCTTAAGACTGTACCCCCCCCAAAAAATCACTAAGAGCTTTTCTTGTGTTTATAATATACTTTTGAAAAATATCAAGTAAAAGATTGATTTATTGAAATGTCCCAGGCTATATTTATTTCATTTATTGAATCTCCTCAATTTGATCATTAGAATTACTTACATCACCTCAGCCTCCAGTATAAGAGAAAATAATTTGCAACTGTATTAAATCTGGGATAGGTGATCCATGCAGGGAGGGTAAGCCCTCCTGGGTTTCAACCTACTAGAAGTAGGCTCCAGGTCTGAGTCTTTGATTTATTTGCTCTGCTATGGTTTTATTTGCTCAGAAAGTATGATGAAACTTCAGATATTGGCAAGCCCCAAACAGTTATCCTGTGTTCCTTCCTCTGTTGCAGGCACTGCCAGGGGCATTGTAATTGCCACAGGTGACCGGACAGTGATGGGCCGCATAGCCACTCTGGCCTCTGGCCTGGAAGTGGGGCAGACACCCATAGCCATGGAGATTGAACACTTCATCCAGCTCATCACAGGGGTGGCAGTGTTCCTGGGGGTCTCTTTCTTCGTGCTTTCCCTCATCCTGGGCTACAGCTGGCTGGAGGCAGTCATCTTCCTCATCGGCATCATCGTAGCCAACGTACCTGAGGGGCTTCTGGCCACTGTCACTGTGAGTGGATCAGACCGACGTGCCACAAATGCCACTGTCACTCCCCCTGCCCCCTACAATCCAGGCGCAGTTGATTGCCTTATAGCAATGTTCCTCTCTTTAAGTCCCCGAAGTCACATATCAGATGCTGCACACAGAAATTGTTAACATACGGCTCAGAGTTTTAAGGCTGAAACATTTCACACTGGACTGTATCTAGGCATTCAATTTCTCTTCTGGGGCTGGTCATGGTTTTCTCACCAGCCATGTGCTGGTCTTGGGTTTGTTCTTTCTAACTTGCTTGTAAAGGCTCTCTCAAAGGTCACCAGTGACTAGAAAATCTAGTGACATTTCTCAGCTCCCATCCTTACCACCACTGCTGAATTGGATACTGCTGTCTACCCTAGTGAACTCTGTCCTTCATCAACTACTGTGATGTGTCACCATCCTGGTCTCTTGTTCTATGTCCTCCTCCTTTTCTCCCTCCCCTTTTGAGGCCCCAGCTTCTGCTCTCATCTTTGTAGCCTTCATGTGAGCTCATTTTCTCCCACAGTTTCTATTGTCCCTCTGTGTGAATGGCTCTCACATCGTTGTGCTTGCTCGTTCAATTCCCCACTGGGCACTTACCACACACCTAGGATCCAAATTCAAAGTGTGTAAATTTGAACATTCATTATCTATCATTATACCCCTCTCCCTCATTCATATTTGTGAAGTAGGAGTAGGAGAAAAGAATAGAGCTGTGTAGAGAAAGGTCATGGACATCTGACATCCTAGACTTAACCCTTTTTTGTTCTCCTTTCTGTCTACCAGGTGTGCCTGACCCTGACAGCCAAGCGCATGGCTCGGAAGAACTGCTTGGTGAAGAATCTGGAGGCGGTGGAGACGCTGGGTTCCACATCCACCATCTGCTCAGATAAGACGGGCACTCTCACCCAGAACCGCATGACAGTGGCCCACATGTGGTTTGACAACCAGATCCACGAGGCTGACACCACTGAAGATCAGTCTGGTGATTGCGTGCTCCAGAGCGGGTGAAGGGAAGCGGACAGTGCTGAGGGCCCCGGCAGAGCAGGGGGCTGGGGTATGAGAAGGCTCTAAAGGGAGCCAAGCTTCTCCCTCATTTCCTCCCAGGGGCCACTTTTGACAAACGGTCTCCCACGTGGACAGCCCTGTCTCGGATTGCTGGTCTCTGTAATCGTGCTGTCTTCAAGGCTGGGCAGGAGAACATCTCTGTGTCTAAGGTAGGGGGACAGCCAGTGAGTGCAGACACAGATGCATTAAGGGGATGTCTCCAAAGTCCCTTTGCTGATGACAGTTTTTCTTCCATTGTGGCTGCATTGGTGACCTCAATCAATGCCCCCCACCCCCCTTCTCTACTCCCTTCCTTCTCCCACTGTGACACTGAACTCTTTTCTTCTGGCAGCGGGACACAGCTGGTGACGCCTCTGAGTCAGCTCTGCTCAAGTGCATTGAGTTGTCCTGTGGCTCTGTGAGGAAGATGAGGGACAGGAATCCCAAGGTGGCAGAGATTCCTTTCAACTCTACCAACAAGTATCAGGTCTGGTGGGGCTGCTGGAATGGAGAAAGATAAAAGGACAAAAGTGGGATGCCAAAGGGGACTCAATAGAAGGAACGAATGGGAATGTCCGAGGACGACACGCTCTCCCTCCTGCCTCACCCCCAGGACAAGTGTCCTGGCTGCATGTCTTACCATCACCCCCTAACTTGCAAACCTTACTACATACAACCTGTCACCCTCTCCACTCTTCTTCCATAGCCATGGTCCACCAATCCTGCCATCCCATATAACTAAAGCACACCTCTATAATTCCTTTATGGTATCCCTCAGCCTTTACGCACCTGTTAATGCCAAGCATAGTCTCCATTCTATTCTGTATGAGCCATAGAGGTCAAGCCCATGGGTCACTGGGAAATGGAGGATGCTAATGAAAACCATCCAACCCCTCGTACAATGAGCTTAATAACTATTTGCTGAATGAACCACTGTTGTATGGAAGTGACTCTCAGATTGCAAGACTTGGGACTGTGAGCAAACACCCTCCACACATTCAGTTTCTCTTCTGTTGACAATCTTTGATGGATTGGAGTTATTTTATTAAGGAAGGTCTCCTTTCCAATAACTGCTCTATAACAAACTCTGTACTACAACCACCAAGACAAGTAGGACTCTCTCTGTAACAGCCGTTCTCCTCTCTAGCTGTCCATCCATGAGAGAGAAGACAGCCCCCAGAGCCATGTGCTGGTGATGAAAGGGGCCCCAGAGCGTATCCTGGACCGGTGCTCCACCATCCTGGTGCAAGGCAAAGAGATCCCGCTGGACAAGGAGATGCAAGATGCCTTTCAAAATGCCTACATGGAGCTGGGAGGACTCGGGGAGCGTGTGCTAGGTAAGGGGACAGAAACGGAACAGGGCTGAGAAAGGGACCTGTGTCTCAGTGTCATCCCCTGGCTGCATGAAGGGCTCTGGAGGCGACCAGGCAGCCACTCTACTGCTCTTACCCTCCTTCCTTCTCCTCCTCAGGGTTCTGTCAACTGAACCTGCCTTCTGGAAAGTTTCCCCGGGGCTTCAAATTCGACACAGATGAACTGAACTTTCCCACAGAGAAGCTCTGCTTTGTGGGGCTCATGTCTATGATTGACCCACCCCGGGCAGCTGTGCCAGATGCCGTGGGCAAATGCCGAAGTGCAGGAATCAAGGTATTAGCTTTGTTCCTACGCCCCTGTCCTTGTATACTTGGTGCCAGAAGTCAAGTGACTGTAGCAGCTGCTGTCCTGAGGAGACATGGCCCCTGGTAGACTCCTTCCTGCTGACACAGAGAAGTTTTCCATCTACAGAGAAAGATGGACACTCAGCAGGAGCTGTCACTTTCCCTTGCTCATGCCCATCATCTAGCCCAGCCCACTGGCCCATGTGCACCCTCCCTTCTGATTCCCACTCGCTGGCACTCCTAAGGAGACTTGGTACTCTGACTGTGCAACTGCTGCCCACTCTCCCTATCCATTTGGAATGGGATTAGAAAGGGCCTGTCTGCTCCTACTCACTCACCCAGTTACCCCATAGACTGCTCCCCACTCAAGCACAGCTCTCCATCCCACTCTTGTCCAGCAATCACGCCTCACTGACCACTCTTTTCTTCTTTACTAGGTTTGTTCTTCATTCAGCAAGTATTTATTGCTTACCAATTATACCAAGTTCTGTATAAAGTGCCAGAGTTAACCAACCAACCATCTTGGAGCTTACTTCTTACTTCCCAGACGGCTCTCTAACACTCTCTTTTTCTGGTCACCAATTCTGGTGCTGTTATTTGCTGGTTTTTCTGTTGTAATTGTTGTTGTTTAAGAGAGGCTTATTATGTAGCATTGGCTGACCTGGAGCTCACTTACGTAGACCAGGCTGGTGGGCCTCAAACTCACAGAGATCGGCCTGCCTCAGCCTCCCTTGTGGGATTTAAGGTATGTGCCGCCATGTCTGGCTTTGTTCTTCTTTTTCACAACATCTCACCTACTCATAAGTCAATGCAATTCAGTCTGCCAGCTGAGAGCCATGCCTTGTGCCAGGCACTGGAGATACAGAAGTAAGATATTGGGCCTGTCTCTCAAGGGAACAGATGCCTCTAAACCCTTAATAGGTAGGGTCATGGAGTACCTGCCATGGGTCAGATACTCTAATAATAAGTCATTTTCTAAACATCTGCATGAGTGAGGCACTATCTAAAGCACCAAGTCTATATGATCCCATTTCATCTTCACAGTTGCCTTCAGAGTAAGCAGCAGTATTTTCCCTTTTACACAGAGAGAAACAAAGGCACAAAGTAACATTCCCAAGACCACATAGATGGTGAGTTGTAGAGCCAGAATTTGAACAAAGCAGTCTGCTATTCCTTAACCAGAGGACTTGGAACTGTGTCTGCGTGTGAATTTTGACCCTCATAACCACCCAGTCCGGAAGACAGGCATTATTACTCCCACTGAAAAACAAAACAAATAGAAACTCAGAGTAGGTAAATATTATCCCCAAAATAGAACTGTTGGTAAGAGGTAGATTGGGAACCTGAAGCCTAGTTGGCCTGTCTGGAGCTTCTGCACAGGCAGGTGCCTCTCGGCAGGGTGAAACCTAGCACAGAGCACAGAGGGGAGGTCTCTGTGGGAAATCAACTGGGGGCTGTTAATTCTGCCTCAGAGAGCTAGCCAGGGTCTGCCAGAGAGGAAGATACTTGATCTGGGCCTTGAAGGCTAAAGAGGATTCAGAAGGAGGTAAAGGAAAGAAAGGCAAGGGAAGGTCAAGGAACAGTATGTACCCTGACATGCCCACTGTCAGGAGGTGTACAGGTTAACAGGGGCGACACAGTAGAGGAGAATTGGGAATTGAGACTGAAGCATTGAGTCAGGGCCACTTGGAAGGATTTTACTTAAATGCCTGAGTTGAGCCTTATCCTGAGTGCCAGGGAGGGGCAGAGATGTCACAGATAAAGCTTTAAGGCTATCCAAATAGAGGAGGGACCAGAGTAGGGGAAGAGCTGAAGTCAGCAAGACAGGGAGACAGACTAAGAGGCTGGCTGTACGTGGTCCTGGCAAGGGGTGGGGACCTAAACCAGGAAAGCTGCAAAGGGAAAGGCGACACACAGTTGCATTTGAGAAACATTTTGAGAATGTGGTAACCAAACTAGATATAAAACATGAAGATATGGGAGAGAACAGAACAGAATGAGCAGAGCAGATGGTATCTAAGGGCAGGAGCTGAGGAGCAGGCGTGGCAGGGAAGTGGGAGTACAGCTAAGAGCTCAACATGGACCTTAAGTCTGAAGCATCTGTAAGAAACTGAGAGAGGGAGAAGAGAGAGAGATCGAGAAAGAGAAACCAGGAATATGGATTAGGGTTCAAAAAAGAGTGTCAGGACTGGAGAGCTGAATCTCCTTAGCACATGAGTACAAACGAAAGACTTACTACAATATTGTATTGTATTGTCCAAGAAGTGAACAGGAGCCAAAAAAGGGGGGAGGAATGAAGTCCTGGGCCACACCAACATTTCTGGGCAAGTGGAGCAAGAAGAATCCATGCGGAGGGGAAAAGAATGGTTGGCTACTGCTCACATTTATTGAGCACCACCTAATGCCATTTAATCTACATGGCATCCTGGAAAGATGGGGATGGCCTCTCCATTATGCTGAGACACAAAGTTGACTTGTGTGAGATCTGACAGCTGGTGAAAGTCAATGTTTAAACTTGGGTTCCTGTCCAAGCACAAAGCCAGCACTTGCTCCGTTCTGCTAGGCTGCTGCCCTGAGGAGGCTGGAGAAAGCATGCAAGAGGTGGAGGGAGGCCAGGAGCAAAGGAGGAGCAGAAACAAGGCAGCCTAGGGTTTCAGCACCTCAGAGGGTCAAGGGCAGTGAAGTTTGCAAAGGTACTTTTGTTTCTCAACTGAAAGGCCCGTGTGGCCTTTGGGAGCAGTTTCAGGAGAGTGGTGTGGGAGAGAATGTAGTGGGGCCTGAGATGTGTTCTTCAGATCTGTGGGACTTTCTTCACAAGCCCATATATGCAAATCTGTCCTCATCCGGCTTTGATCACTTTGATAATAGCCTTTTCCCAGGCCTACACCTGCCTCATCCCACTCTGTCCAATCTACAACAGCAAAGAACATTAATTATCCTCGCTAAGGCAAGGTACCATGCAGGGCTGTTAGAAGCACATGAGCAAGATGGTAGAAACTGGATGCTGCCTCCGTCTTTAGCCGTACTCCTTCTAGTCATATTGCTCCCATGATCACATGAGACACTAGGAAAACCACACCTTTATTCTGGGTCCCTGTGATCTTGAAGAAATCCTGTGTGCTCACAAAGTCTTGATTGTCTCATCTGTACAAAAACAGAGCTGTTAAAGAAAGCACCTGACAGCTCTGACTGCCTCATGATATTCAAACTCCCAAAAAGGCTTCCCGAACAAGCCTGGCATGGAAGTATATGCCCATCATCCCAGCACTTGGCAGGCTGAGGCAGAAGGATCCTGTCAGTTTGAGCCCAGCCTGGACTACATACTTTAATATCCTGTCTCAAGAAAAGAAGGGGAATGGGGAGGAGAGGAAAAGGAGATGAGATCTCCCAAATACCAAACACTCTTAAAGAATCCAGGTTTCTCTGCCAAGGGACCCTCGTTAACTGGTCAATTTGTTGTGGTTGTTTTCTTCTATTTAAACTATCTTTGGTACCTGAACCTAACACAGTTTGTCACTGTCTCACCCCTTTCCTACCAAACATGCACATAACACAGTGCATACACAACACACAGCTCCACTATTTGAGCTGAAATATACCAGTCACAGACATCTAGTGACTAACTTGACCTGATTTGGGAAAGGAATAGGAAGCATAAAATATCTTTTTTTTCGGTCTTATTGGGCAGGGTCTCCCTGTAGCCCCAGCTGGCCTGGAACTCACTATGTGCCGGCCTCTCCTCGGCCCGAACTCCACTGGTTGCGCACCAGTCCCCGTAGCAGAAGGTCGGGGCAAGGAGAGAGACCAGTGCAAGTGGGGGGGGGACACCCTTGAGAGACGGTGTCAGCAGATAGCTCGTTTATTATGGCGGAGCAGAGGTTTATATAGGAAAGTTTTGAGGGCAAATTGGTGGGGTTGGTTTTCTGGCAGGCCAGCAGGTAAGGGGAGGGAGGGGGCTTCTAAGGCTACATGGCCTTTGTCCTGTCCTCTGATCACATGATCTACAAGAGACCTGACTAGGATTAAAGGATTAGAGGCCTAATAGTTTTGCTTGGGGGTTGTTGGGTAAGAGACTGTATCTAGAATGGAGTGGGCCAGTTTCCTGCCATCCTCACTAGGAGGTATCCGGCCTAGCAGCCATGCTCTACATTCCAGGCACTCCTGGCTTATCCCAACATCTATGTAGATCAGGTTGGCCTTGAACTCATAGAGATCTGCCTGCCTCTTGCTCCCAAGTGCTGGGATTAAAGGTATGTGCCACCATGCCCAACAGAAGCAAAAATATCTCAACACTGCTTTCCTTTTCGGTCTTCTCCTTCCTACCAGGTGATCATGGTGACCGGGGATCACCCTATCACAGCCAAGGCCATTGCCAAAGGTGTGGGCATCATATCAGAGGGTAATGAGACTGTGGAGGACATTGCAGCCCGGCTCAACATTCCTGTGAGTCAAGTCAACCCCAGGTGAGACCTTTACAAGGACCCCTGCACCTGGCCAACATGTCCTCTCTCACAGAAATCATGAGTGTCCCTTGGTAATATTTGCATAGCATCTACGGGACCTTTAGACTAAGGCCTTTCCTCTGACACCTCTGTGGCTGCTGTGCCACTGATGAGCTGTGTAACCTTGGACATGTCACCTTACCTTCCTGAACTTGGGTTTCTCAGCTATGAAATTAAGATGCTGTTCACATGGTGGAGTTGCTCTAGGGATGGGATATGAATAAAGAAAGTGGTACCCAGCCTAGAAAACTGTGCTTGTGCCTGTGGTGATGCCTCATGGTGAGGATGTAGTGTTGCCTCCTAAGAGAAAAAGGGAAGAACTCAACATCAAGGAAGGGGGCACTGAAGCAAAGGGGGAATCCGCACCCCCCACTGGGAAGCTAAGGCTCCCAGGTAGTAAGGAGAAGCAGCAGGACTTGCACAACTGTAGGGAGTCAGCTGTCTCTACCTCTACCCTCCAGAGAAGCTAAGGCATGTGTGGTACATGGCTCAGACCTGAAGGACATGACGTCAGAGCAACTGGACGAGATCCTCAGGGACCACACAGAGATCGTGTTCGCCCGGACCTCCCCTCAGCAGAAGCTCATCATTGTAGAGGGGTGCCAAAGGCAGGTGAGCAAGACAGCAGGAGGCAGAGACAGGACAAATCAGGGGCCAGACAGGGGGGATTTTGTTCTCAAACACTTGTGGTATCTTCTCCCAGGGAGCCATTGTGGCAGTGACTGGTGATGGGGTGAACGACTCCCCCGCACTGAAGAAGGCTGACATCGGCATTGCCATGGGCATCTCTGGTTCTGATGTCTCTAAGCAGGCAGCTGACATGATCTTGCTTGACGATAACTTTGCCTCCATCGTGACAGGCGTGGAGGAGGGTGAGGAAGCTGTGTGGGCTGGTGGTACCCAGGGCCTCTGAGGCTAGCCCTTCTGCTTCCTGTGACTTTTACCTCAGATTCCAGACCACATCAGCCTGTTTTAGCTTCCCTCAGACTTAAAACTTTCCTCTCTCCAGAAAATGAGCAGCCACACCTCAGGGGATGGGGTGGGAAAGGTCTCTCTAATCTCCCTGATGCCCTCAGAACCTCTCCACAGGCCGCCTGATCTTTGACAACTTGAAGAAGTCCATCGCATATACCTTGACCAGCAACATCCCTGAGATCACCCCCTTCCTGCTGTTCATCATCGCCAACATCCCCCTCCCTCTGGGCACTGTGACCATCCTCTGCATTGACCTGGGCACAGATATGGTGAGGCCAGAGGGTGGAATGGGGGGAAAGCCAGGCAGCCACATAAATACCAGGGTGGGAAAACAGGTGAAGGGGCTGCAACCAAAGCAGCTGACTAGACCCTGACTGTGTAGATAAGCCTGGGCCTGGAGGAAAATAGAGTCTCCCCGCTACCCTGCAGTCCTGGGGATTGAACCTAGGCCTCACTCATGCTAGGCAAGCACTCTACTCCTGAGTTATATTCCCAGTGGTAATAGGATCTTAAGGTAGGTGTGCTGAATTCTGTTGAAGATTCTTCGTGCTGATCAGTCACTGTTCTTGTTTCTCACATTCCTTCAAATGTCTCCCCTTCCTCCATATCCTATGGACACAGGTTCCTGCCATCTCATTGGCCTATGAAGCAGCTGAGAGTGACATCATGAAAAGGCAGCCACGAAACTCCCAGACAGACAAGCTGGTGAATGAGCGGCTAATCAGCATGGCTTATGGACAGATAGGTGCGCCAGGCCAGAGGCTTGGAAAGGTTTCCCCCAAAGGCTTCTTCTAGTGTCTGAGAGAGATGAGTAAAATTTCACGAGTAGGGCCAACCCCATGAGAGCCAGGAACTTCCATCTCTGTCCCCCAAAAGTGTCCCTTTCCTGCCTCCTTCTCTAACCCAGGTCCCAACCTTTGCCCACCACCTCTTCCAGGCATGATCCAGGCACTTGGAGGCTTCTTCACCTACTTTGTGATCCTGGCAGAGAACGGTTTTCTACCATCACGGCTCCTGGGAATTCGCCTTGACTGGGATGATCGGACCACCAATGACTTGGAGGATAGCTATGGGCAGGAGTGGGTGAGTGGGGCTGTGTAAGTATGATACACACAAGATAACATGGGGCTGAAGGCCTGGCCATTTGGGCCCAGGGGCAGAGGGTGGATTCGGTGCCAGGTTTAACAGCTGCCCAAACTGTGCTGTATGCTGCAGTTATCCCTTCCCCTGATCCTTTATGTTTCCCTCTGCACCCTCTCCCCAGACCTATGAGCAGCGGAAGGTGGTGGAGTTCACATGCCACACAGCCTTCTTTGCCAGCATTGTGGTAGTGCAGTGGGCTGACCTCATCATCTGCAAGACCCGCCGCAACTCAGTCTTCCAGCAGGGCATGAAGTGAGCACCCACTACTACCAGGACCTATTACCCAGGCAGAGTTCTCTAAACATGGCTACCAACCAGTGGAGATCAGGTTTCCAACACCAGACCACCTCAACCCCTGGGGCTCAGGCCTGCCTAGGAGGCATCTGGTTGTAATAGCCAGCAGCTTTTCTACAGCTAGGTTTGAAATAGACATGAGCAAGGAAGGAATGACAAAACTATCAACTAAGGTCTAACGTTGCTCCTAGTGTATTTTGTTATGGTTTCCTGCCTTCCTTTCTGTCTTCCTTCTCTCTCTCCCATTCTCCCTCCTTCCTCTTCCATTCCCTATTTAAGTGGTACCTTGCCCCATCCTTTGCCCAGTCCTAAATCCAGGGTCTCCTAGGCATCCTACCAACACTTGGCAGATAGCCAATTGTATAGTACTTGCCCTGTAGTGCTGCATCTACCTAGAGGCGTGTTCAAGCCTTCCTACAGTGCAATACCATGTACCAGGCTCTGAACTAAGTGTCTCACTGACACTAACTTCACAACAGGTCTACCAGGTGGATATTATGGTACAATATATGGGCAAGAAGCCCACGAAAGGTTAAATGATATGCTTACAGTCACCCAGCCTGTCTCTAAGGCCCAAGCTTTCAACTCCCACCCAACCTTGTGGTAGCTCACCTGTCACACATCTGGCATCTTACTTATGAATCTAACATGGATGTGGGCTGAGTGCTGAAGGGATCAAGCTGGTTGCTTTTATTTTTTCCTACAATAAACAAAAGTTACAAGTGAGTTTTGTTCCAGAGACTCTAAGAAACTGGGCACCATCCTGTACTGGATATTTACAGTGTGGCATATGAGTGACACAGGAAGGTGGAAAGACAGCCAGCTGGTTAAGTCAGTCCACTTAGAGGCAAATGAGAAACAACTTCAGTCTGGCTGAGCACAGGGCAGAAGTACTGATACAACAAAGCACTGGACCGGACCGGACCGGACCGGAGTGCACCTGGGCCTCACCTTCCGTCCTTGGGCTATTGAAAGTCCTCAGAAGCATTATCAATATTATTTCTAAAGGCTGTATGAAGCCAAGCACTTACCTGCAGGAAGGCTGCCAGGTTTTCTAGTGGGCTCTCCTTAGGCAAAACCAAAGAAAACATATCACGAAGCATAGGGATGGCATGCTAATCTACGGTTCTGTTTGGAACCGTGAATATGTATAATAAATTGTAAATGGGAAATATGCTCATCACTTATTAACAAGTATAGGTTGAGAGACAAAAATCAATTCAATTAAAATGTGGATTTTATGGAAGGACAACAATGGCTTCTTCCTACGTCTTCTTCAGATACCTTCTCATGCTTATGTAACCAAAGAAAAACAGTCTTTTAATGATTATTATAGAGACAGAAGAAGCATGAGGCTCCAAGAAGTTAGGCACTGTTTATTACCCAGAACCAGGAAGTGGTTAAGCTGGCAACAGACTTGACCAGCCTGTTTCTAGACACTGCCTTCAGAACCTTGTTCTGCCCTGCTTTTCAATTCTGCTGTAATGAGTATGACTTAACCACTTCCTAGGCAGTGGCACAGGAGCGGGCATTCTCTGAGTTCAGTATTTTGCGAATACCCTCTTCTTCATTCAGTGTCTGGGATAAGCAACCACCATGGCCTGCAGGAGGTGCTAAAAGATAAAAGGTATCCATGGCCTCTGCCCAGAAGGAGCTTTCAAGGCATCTTGCTGGGAAGATGATATTTTCCCAGTCCACATGCGTAGAGTAATAACAAAACTACAAGTTGCCTGTGGACAGGCCTCTGTTGACCACTGTATCTCTGGAACATGAGGAACAATTATTTAATGAAATAGTTGGAGGTAACTGAATAAGCAGAAAAAGAAATGTTTCCTTTGGCTACATGAAGCATGAAATGTTTGAAGCAGACATGGGAAGATGTCATTTAGAACCCTTCCCTAACCTGTCTTCCCTTCTGCCCCAGGGGTTTCCCTGAAGCTCTTCCTCCTGACCCCTCCCCGCTTCAAATGCTACCTCCCCCCTTTTCTTTTCCTTTCTAGGAACAAGATCCTGATTTTTGGGCTTCTAGAAGAGACGGCATTGGCTGCCTTTCTGTCTTACTGCCCAGGCATGGGAGTAGCCCTTCGCATGTACCCACTCAAGTGAGTGTCCTGTTCAGTGGCTGGATGAATGGTGCAGAGGCACCTCAGGCCCCTTCTAAGACCCAGGCTCTGAGTCACTTGAGTGCCTACCTTTGGGACACTGTGCCTGCCTCTGAGGCGCCTGACACTCCCTCCGTTGCTTTCAGGGTCACTTGGTGGTTCTGTGCCTTCCCCTACAGTCTCCTCATCTTCATCTATGACGAAGTCCGAAAGCTCATCCTGCGGCGATACCCCGGGGGTAAGCACCACCACCCACTCCAGCATCCCCTCCAGAGCTGCACACCCACACCCCACTCCCACCTCACATCCTGCTTCTGCTCCTCAGAACCCTCCAATCTTGAGGTTCCAGGTCATAGAAACCCTGACTCTGGAACATGCCTATCCTGGGCCTGCATCCCATGTAGCTCAGCATGGGTCTTCAAGGCCTCCACCTTCCGTACAATCACAGAACATCTGAATTAGAAAGGCCCTTTGAGGTCATCTGATCGAGTCCATATTTGTAGATTAAAGAGAGACACAGAGGTGAATTTATTTGTTCAAGATCATAAGGCAAGGAATAGCAGACCTGGCACCAGAATCTAGGTCTCTTAATTCCCAGGCATCAACCAGAGCTTGTTTATTTTTCCAACAGCAATTTTTATCATTTGCTGGGTTAAAAATGGATAACTTACAAACCACACATCGTCCATGAACAGTGTTTGGGTTGATGGGCCCAATATTTTATGTGTGTGGTTTCCTAATGGGCCCAGTATCTAAAACTTTGGCGTTTTCATGTAAAATCTAAATTTCTGGCTTCTAAAAACAATCCAAAGAGCTGTCCGTCTTCTGGCCACATTCCTTCTGGTGTGGCAGCTGCCTCTGAGACACTCAATTGCCTCTGAGGAGCCCTTTAGGCATTTGCATTTTCAGCCTCCACTAAGCTAAATACAAGTCTGCCCTGAAGGCACCCTCTCCATACCCTCAAACACACAGCTCAAGCCTCAGGCCCAGAGTGTCCCTCTTACCCCTTGCTTCTTTGACCCTCTTCCTCAGGCTGCTCCTTTCATCTGGCCTCAGCTACTCCAGCCCTGGGGGGAGGGGGCGATCTTTTGCCTCATTTTGAGCTCCTCCAGTAACCCTTATCCCAATCTCTCTAACAGGCTGGGTGGAGAAGGAGACCTACTACTGAGCTCACTGGAAGAAGCAGGAATGGGAGAGATGGGCCCTCTGGAGGTGTTGCAGGGGTGGTGGAAGGAAGGGATGAAAAAGAACTGGGGTGGTATTTTGGAGGAGAATTTAGGGAGGCAGAATGAGGCCATTGGAAGAACTAAATAGCAGGTAAGTAAACTTCCTGCTCCATAGGCCCAGCTGAATGTTCAGGCACTGCAGTTAGGGCCTTCTCCCCAGACCCTCTTCCATTCCACTCTACCATGTTGTCTACTTTTCCTGAAGAGCTAAGGTTGCCCCAGCCTTCCCTATACCCCAATCCTTCACATTCACTTCCTACTCAAACAGATCGACATCCAAAGGCTAATCTGTCTAACCCTGGAGAAGGAAACCCTTTCACCAAGTGTCCCTTTATGTGTCCAGCCTCATTCCTTTACCCACTCTTCCTATCCTTAGCTTCCTACCTGACTGATCCTTTTCTTCCCCTTAGACCTTGAAATCCCAAAATTCTCCTTCTGCCTGAGGCCAGAAAGGGAGGTTGGTTGGAGAGGCTGGTTCTGTCCCCAGTCAAGGCCAGTTAGGAAAGAAGAACTAGGCAGGCGGGGGAAGGTTGGGGTATGCTGGCTGAAGGAGGAGACAGCAAAGGAAGGAAAACAGGCAGTGACCAGAAGCTTGGTGTCCTGAGTCTCCAAGTGGGTGGGGTGGGCTCCAGCTCTGCGTCCCACCTTCATAGACTAGCACACTAACAAACTAGACTAGCAGCAGAGGCAAGACCAGGAGACATGTGTGCCACTTAGTGTGCCCCTGACCCCTGGCTATGGTCTTCTCTGTCCACAAGACCCTCATGTCACAGAAGCTACAGCGCCTCAATCATGTGCTCTTTGGAACACCCAACTCTTCAGGTGCTTCATGCTGTTCTGAGCCCCCCATCAGCTGCCTGTTCTCTCCCAACTCCATGACTCCTTCCCCTCCGTGCCTATCCAAACGAACCTGCATCATTTCCAGCATTGTCAAGCTGGTCCTGAAAAAAGACCTTCTGGCCTTTGGCAGGAATTGGGGTAGAGACGTTTCCAGAACATTCCTACCTTTGAAGGACATGAAGAAGCAGCTTAGGTCATGACATGGTCAGAACTTTTAGACACAAGGAAAAATCTTAAGAGAACTGCCTTTGACCCCTCAAATGGCAGGGCCACCCCTCCCAGGCAGGCGCTCACTTTCAGAGAAAGGAAGCTGGCTTCAGGTTCCCTATGGAATATCGTTTTCTTTCCTTTCTCCCTTCTCACCTAATATTTTTGCTCTGTAGGCAACTCTGCCCATTCTCTAAGCCTAGCTTAGAAAACACTGCAGAGATGGACTTTGATGAACAAGTCAAACAAGTGAGACAGACACCAAGGAAAACGGGAGGCCTAAAGCCGAAAGGAAGGACAGAAGACAAGCATTAGGTCAAGCCCCTAAGCAGCCTCCCAGTGCCTAGTATCTCATTGCATTGCAACTTTGCTTTATCAAGAACCTTGAAATGAGTGAGTCATGGCCTTGAGTTGGAAATCTAAATGGTATGCTGTATTTATTTGGGCCTGATTAATTTGACATCATTGACTATGGACAAATGTTTGTCTTTGCACAATCAATAAAGAAGTCTTTTGGTTAGTAAATTAAGAGTATAAACAATATTTCTAAGTCTATCCCAGAGTATACTTTTCAGGCACTTTAGGAGTATCTTTTTAGAAGCAGAAAATGTATAGACTAATTATCATCAGTCCTGATGTATTTGTTAAAGAAACATCTACAGGATCTTTACTGATGACTTTCTGTAAGACATTAGTTTGAGGCAATACATATGTACTTGAAAATAATAAAGTTGCATTTCTTTATGATAAATGAGAAATCTCTCTCATAATTGTTTTCTATACTTCAGACTCACCCCTCAAATTGTGGTATTGGATGTGTGCTGTGGAAGGACTTGGCTTGTTGAGGGAATCCCCAAAAAAGGGGATGTGTCTGGAATAGTAAGGAAACAGTCTGGTCATGGACAGAGCTGTTGGAGAAAGAGAAAGAGGAAGAAGTTGAGCTGTGAAAAGTGCTCGTGGGTCTTTGAGAACCATGATCATTTCTACTTTTTCTGGTTCAGATCAAAATCAGACCACTTTCAATCTGAGGGGTAGGGAATAGAGGCTCTGGGGTGGAGACTACCACAGTCAGCCAGCACCAATTAACAATCTATACTATATGCAGAGCCCTAGTCCAGGGCTATCTTTTGGGAATAAGAATAAAGCATACACAGCCTCGAAATCTACCTGAGTAGATGTTGGCAACCTTTCTACACAGGACGAATCTGATAGGCAGGGGGGTGGGGAATGACACTGCACTGAGATGGACAGGCAGTGGATGGTGTGCATTCCTCCAGAGATCACTGTGGATGAAAGACAGGATGACGTGCATTCCTCCAGGGGTCTCTGGAGATGAGATGCAGGGAGACACAAGAATCTCAGAATAACCATCAGAAGTCAGTTCCTGCCCAAGCAGGAGCTCTCTGTAGAGGTGATGTGGGCATCATCCTTGTGGTTGTTGTAGTAAATGATGCTCACTTTGTGCCATCAGAATGTCAGTTTTCAGGGCTGGAGAGATGGCTCAGCAGTTAAGAGCACTGGCTGCTCTTGCAGAGGACTGGGGTTTGATTCCCAGAACCTCACATGGCGGCTAACAATCATCCATAACTCCAGGTCCAGGGGAATCCAACACTTTTCTAACCTGTCTGGGCATTGCATGACACAACACAGGTGCACCAACACACATGCAGGCAATACTCATAATATAAAAGCAACAAAATTTTTTTTTGAAAAATAAGAATGTCAGTTTTCTTTATAAAAGTTAAAGAGGAAGCGAGATTAAAATTTACTTTGATCTCACCTCAGAGTCTTTGTTCTTGAAGGATCTTCTGCCAAGAATACTTTCATCTTCCATGCCTGGCTTCCTCCCTTCATTCAGATTACTACTTAGATATTACCTCCCCTGGGAAACACCCTCACAGTCAACTCAGATAACACTCAGGCATTTCTTTCTCTAGTCATTTTGTTTTATTCATAAATACTAACTCAAACTTAGGTATGAAAATGGATGGATGATGGATGGATAGATAAGCAGGCTGATTGAGGTAATCTGTCAAAATTTATGCACATAGGCTACAGGGCTGGAGGTGTGGCGTGCTTGCCTAGCATACGTGATACCCTGAGATTGTTTCATTTGTGTATCTGACTCTTCTAGAATCAGTTCCATGATACTTTTTCTTTTAATTTGTTTGTTCTTTTATGGGTTTTGTTTAGGGAGTGTTGCTTTTGTTTTGCTACAGGACCTTACTTCACAGCCCTGGAAGGCATTTAACTCTTGATCCTCCTGCCTCTCAGCCTCCAAAGTACAAGGACTGCAGGTGTCTTTTCTTTTGTTCACCACCTTTATCCTCAGCACCTAAGGCAATATCCGACACACAATAAGCAATTAATAAAGATTTGCTGGGTGACTAAGAGAATCCTCATAACTATATAGTACAATGATAACTATTATCTCCAATTTATAGATGAGAATATGGGGGCTCACAAAGGCTTTAAAGAATGTAGTTGGAATTTCAACTGTGGTAAGCAGCAGACCCAGGATTCAACCCAGACTAGTCTGAGTTCAGGGACAGTCCTCTGTGCCACCATGCCACAGTAGCCTTCACCAGCAGGTACAGAAAGCCTGTGGACAACAAAGGGCCAGATCAGCCCAGAGGTTTAGTAAAGTGTGGAGGCTGTGAAGGGAGCCAGAAAGTCTGTGCACAAGGAACACTGGAGCAGTGGAGGTTGGGTAGATCCATGTGATTAGAATCAGAGAAAGGGAGAATAGCTAGACTTAAAGATGCAGCAGGGGATTAAGGAAAAAGTAGAGGGCTAAAGAGATGGCCCAGTGGTTAAGAGTACTGGCCACTCTTCCAGAGGATCCTATTTGGTTCCCAGCACCTACATGACACCTAACAACTATCCCTAACTCCAGGTCCAGGGACCCTGGCGCCTAGCCTCCAAGGGCATTGCATGCATGTGGTGCATTTACATACATGCAGGCAAAACACTCATGCACATAAAATAAAAATAGATTTTTTTTTAAGAAATACAAGACTCAACTGCCTATCAGAGGACCTTTGCCCAGAAAGGAGAGACTCTATTGAATGTAATGCTAGAAATTAGGTCCAGGCTTCCATGCAGGAAGACAGACTTTCCATGGCATTTCTCTTTCATCTTCAGAACAGGAAATGTGATAATTCACCAGAAACAGATGACAAACTAAATATTCAAAATGCTAAGAATACATCAAAAAATGGCAGAAAGTTATTAGATCAGTATCAAAGGAAGATGTTGAACACAAAGTGAGTCTTTCAAAAACATCCCAGTCAGCTAGTGGCATATGTTGGTAACCCCAGCATTTGGGAGGCTAAGACAGGAGGATTATTAGTTCAAGGCCAGCCTGGGTCACAGAGTAAGACTGCATCTCAAAAATAAACAGGGGCTGGAGAGATGGCTCAGGGGTTAAGAGTGCTTATTGTTCTTTTAGAGGATCCAAGTTCAGTTCTTAGCATCCACATTGGGTAACTGTGGCTCCAATTCCAGGGAATCTGACACCCTCTTTTGGCTTCAGTGGGCACCCAAATGTGTGGCATTCACTCACACAGACCATACGCATCCATATAAATTTAAAATAAAATAATAATGAATCTTTTAAGAAACAAAAAGCCTTTGCTCCAACATATTCGATGGAGATTTTTTTCCCCCAAATTCCTCAAAGGATATTCTTATACTATTTAAACGCTAGTAGGATATAGAAAATAATATTGAATTGCACAGTCTACCTTATGAAAGAAGTATTTTTTAAATATTTTTTTTATTCTTTCTATTTTATGTGTATGCGTGTATTGCCTGCATGTGTGTAAATGCACCTGCGTCATGCAATGCCTGTGGAGATCAGAAGAAGCCACTGGATTCCCTGGAACTGGAGTTACGGACAGTTGTTAGCTGCCATGTGGGTGCTGGGATTTGAACCCAGGTCTTCTACAAGAACAGCTAGTGTTCTTAACCAATGAACCATCTCTCTAGCCCCATGAAAGAAGTATTTTAACAAAATGTTTTAATACCTATAATAACTCCAGGGAAATTCAAGGAAGTATATTTCAAAGAAAATGCTAGTAACAACTTATATGGACTAGACAAATGATTAAATAATCATTTCAAATGGCATTGAGAAGGCTATCAGTGAAACTCAGCATCTGCTTCTGATTCAAATGTTGAGGAAAAAATATACTGGAAAATGTAATCGTGTTCAAAGAAGAGGGGAAGGGATGAAGTCTAGCAAATTAATAATAATAGCAACTATAATAAAATCGAAAGTAACATCAAAATCTTGAATAAGGAATTAGCATTTTAAAAGTTGAAACGGGCACCAGGCAGACTGGCGTGGGCCTTTAATCCCAGTAACCAGGGACTAGAGTGAGACTCTGTCTCAAAAACACAAAAGCAAAATAAAACAAAAAGTTGAAACAGGGACTAAGAAAATGACCACTGGGTAAAGTACTGTGAGCTGAAAGCTGGGGAAGTGGAGACAGGAGGATCAGGTACTCACTGGCCAGCTGATTTTGCTGAAACAGGGAACTCTGGGTTCAGTGAGAGGTCCTGTCTCAATATGGTGAAGAGTAATGGGATGACAGCCCGCAACGCACCCACACACGCACGCAGGCACGCCCGCACAAGCATACACACAGACACGTGACCACACACATATAGTACACACAGTAAAAGGAAAAAATGTTGAAATAAGCCAGGAGTAGTGGCCATACCAGTAAATCCTAACATCTGGGAAGTTGAGGCAGGAGAACCACAAGTTTGAAGCCAGCCTGGGCTACATAAAGACTACTCTGTCTTAAACAAAACAAACCCCCCCCCCCAAAAAAAAAGCTGAAATAAAGAGCCAAACGAATAAAATTTTAAAGCATATTTTCTGCATAAAGGGCGCAACTGCTTAATAAAATCTAAGAAAAATAACCAAACCAAAGGAGAACAGCAACAATAAGAAGGCTGGGAAGTAATAAGTTTAAAGTTACAAGATACAAAATTCTGTCTTTAAGCCATCAGAAAAAAAAAACAAAGATAGAAAACAGAGCACAAAGGGCTTCTTTTGGCATCAGAATCAAAACAAGTACACTTGAGTCTTCATGTGTACAGCATGTAGTATTAAAATTTAAAGGCAGGATGATAGAAATAAAAAATGTGTATACATAGAGAGCTAATCTTGACTGCTGTTTGGAAAACAGAATGTAGTAAAGACAAAAATTAAGTTACTTTGAAAG